GCTAGAGCCTTTTCCACCATGCTGCTCATTTTCTTGTCTCCCTGTCCAGCCGTAGCCCGCCCGCACCTCCGCTCCCAGGTCGGGCTGTGGGCGGGTTCTGCCCAGGTCAGGCTGGGCTCCACTCCTCCTTACTGCTGCAGCTCCTGGCTAGCCAAAGCTTGCATTGTGGTTGCTTGGTTGTTGGCCTTCATTCTCGAACAGGACCCAAATGACATCACTATGCTAGAGCCTAGTGTGGTAGAACATTCCGAGCTCATGTTGGTCTAATTCTAATGTGAGAAGACAACACAAAAACCCTCTGTGGAAAGGGAGGGTGGGGACTGCATTGTGACGTTGTGGCTGGCGATGTCTGGGGTGTGTTGTGGAGATCTAGAACCCGGAAAATTAAGACCAGAGCTGACTTGCAGGGCTGGAGCACAATTTATCACTCCAGTTACCATAATTCTTACAGAATGGTCATACGCTTTTGTATTCATCCTCTGTTATTTGACCTTGTGTTTATCATTTCTACATATCTTTTTTTTTTTTAATTCTGAACTCAGACACCAAATAATATTAGCATTTCCGGATACATAGTAAAAGAGGAGTGAGTTTCACTCCTTCAAGTCAACGCTTGAGTTTCCATTAGATCCACATTGGTTTTTTAAGGCAGCTCCTCTTTTCTTTCACAACCATCTCTGCTTGTATTCAGAATTTAATTCTTGGATTTCCCATCCCTGCTGGTCTGACTTCCCCTAAAAACAATTTGCTAACTAAATTTGACCTATCCTTTTTTCTGAATCCTTTTGAAATCTACTGTCCTCAAATATAAGGTAGGAGTCAGACTGTGTCTGGTTTTTTTTTTCTCTGTTTATGATCGAGTGGGTCACTTGCTCTTAAAGGCTTTGTCATCACTACTTAAGCAACCAGTTTCTCCTTGTTGGGCACAATCAAGTTGAGAATAGCCAGTTTCTCTCTATTATTTGAAATATGAAATGATCATTAGGGCAATTCATAAATTTATCTGTGGCAGACAGGGCTCTAAATATCCAGAGAGTTGAAATCCCTTATTTTCATGCTTCAGTGCTCAAAATGGAAGCAAATGATTTTGTAATGGGAAGATGGCCCTGGAGAATAGGACTGAATCCTGAGAACAAACATATCTAGACAAATAGCAGATTGAGTGTGGGTGAGAAAGAGGGAGAGGCTGGTGGCAAGGGAAGACTTGAACAGGTAAATCCTGAGCCCTGGATACATCTCACTGAAGTAGTGGGATGATATAGCAGGGAGGATGATGAACATGAGGTCAGAAAAGGCTTGGCAACATATCCTGCCACTGGCCCATAAGTCATTCATTTCTCAGAGCCTCAGTTTATTCATCTCTAAAATGGGAATGATACCTCTCAGGATTGTTGTGAGGCTCAAATGTTATGATGCATGTAAAATACTTTGTAAACATTAAAGTGTTATATAATGTAATATTATTATCAAAATTGTATTATCGATGATAGTATAGATTGAGGACTTATTGAATGACCACATGCAGAGAATAATCATCAATGGGTTGTCAGCTTAAAAAGGTCTCCAGAGGCAGCTAGATGGTGCAGTGGGTAGAGCACTGGCCCTGGAGTCAGGAGGACCTGATTTCAAATCCGACCTCTGACACATGATCCTTCGCTAGCTGTGTGACTCTCGGCAAGTCACTTAGCCCCGATTACCTCGATAAAGGAGAAAGGTCTCCAGTGGTGCCCCAGGGAGCTATGGTTGGCCTTTTACTGTTTAACATTTTTATTATTGAGTTGGATAAAAGCACAGATGGCATGTTTATCAGATTTTCAGGATGACTGAACCAGGAATCAGAGAGATCTCAACAGGCCAGAATATTGGACCAAATGAAATATGGGGAGAAATGTAGAGTCTTCCACTTGGATTTTTAAAAATCACTCTTACAAATATGAAATGGTGGAGACATAGCTAGACAGCAGTTCTTATGAAAAAAATCTGGGGATTTTATTGGACTGAGAAATATGCATGTGAGTCAGCAGCTTGGTATGGCAGCCAAGAAAGTTAATTGGAGAGGCCTGACTGCCAGGAAGAAGGAGGCGATAGTTTTGTGCTGCTGTCTCCTCCAAGCATCCCATTTCTAGAGAGTTGTGTTTAGGGATGAGGTCTGCATTTTAGAAAGGAGCTTGAAAAGTGGAGAATCTCGAGAGGATGGTGAAGGACCTTAATGCCATATCGGATGAAAATCAGTTGAAGGAACTGGAAATTTTTACCCTAAATGAACTCTCTTCCAAAATATAGGGCGCATGTCAGGCTAAATTTGGCTTTCTTCTCTGTGTCACAGACTCTTAAGATGGAATGGTAACTCACATGAAGATTCCTAGGATTTCTGCTCCAGCTGCCATTTTATCCTTGTTGGTAATGAATAGAATTTTCCCATTTCCTATACCTTTTGTGAAATGAAATTATCGTCCAGACAGATCAAGAAAGTAGTAGTTCTTTATTGGCCTCATGAAAGTTCTAACAGTAGTCCAGATAATTAAAGCCTCCCATCGTCAGAATATCCAGTTACTGTGTGTTGGCCTGGTGATTCTGTTTCCCAAACTCCGCGTGTCATCTTTATTTTTGTTTCGATGGTCTGTATCAGAGGTGGGGAACCTGTGGCCTTGAGGCCATATGTGCCCCTCTAGGTCCTCAAGTGTGGCCCTTTGACTGAATCCAAACTTCACAGAAGTGGCCTCGAGGCCCCAGATTCCCCACCCTTGGTCTTTATTACATTTCCTGCAACTCTGTTTCTGGCTCCAACCTTTTTCCAGCATGCTTCCCTACTCTTGATTCCTGGATTTCCTCACATGGGTATATCTTCTGAATATACAAGGTTATTCCATACCTCCTTTTTACTTATAATACTTCTTTTGAAGATGATCAACCCTTCTGGAGCCATATTCTACTCATGGATCTCATCCCACCAAGTCAGTAATAACAGTGTTAACCAGCACAAAGCCAGGCATGACTTCCTGAGGCTCCACACTGGAGATTTTCTTTGGGTTTTATGACTGTCTCCTTTCTGGTGTTTGGTTTTCTGTCAGTACCTCACAATTGCAACCGCCATTCTTCCTACTTTCAAGCTGTTCTCTAGGTCTTTAACTTGGTGGATGCGTATAGGCAGTTTTCCCTCTGTCCTTTCCCTTTCAGTTGAAAGGCCATTTGATTAGATTTACAAGACACCAAATAAATAAATTCTTCAAAGTCAGTGTTCTTGACTCATGCCATTGGTAGTAATGGGAAAGCCACTGTAACTTTTAGCTAAGAGAATTTCATAGCACAATTCTAGAAAGTTTCATCTGTTATCACTGTGTGGGATCAATGAGAAACGGCAGAAATGAAAAGCAGGGAAGATTAGTGAAGCTGTTGCAATAAGCCGAACAAGATAGCCAGGACCTTAACTAGGCCCTGATTAGGTAGTGTTGGGGGATGTATATCAATGTTAGGTAGTGTCAGGGATGAAAGTTGTAACCCTTTTTGGAGGCAGAATTAGTGGGATCTGGTAAGTTGATGTGGTGGAAGAGGAAGGTGATAAGGACAACATAAGAGATGAATGATTAATAAATGTCTGGGTCACTGGGAAGAAAATGATACCCTGAAAGGAATTATGAAAATCATTTAATCTCTCTGGATTGCAGTTTCTTCATCTGTCATAGGTGGTGGTTGAGTATTTCAGATCTAAGATTCTCTTGTTTTAAGCCTTTCTGCACTTTGTGCATTTAGACCTTGAAAGCTAGTATCCATTTTTAAGTGTGTGTATAATGTGGCAAAATATTTAGCTTCTCAACTTAAGTCTCACGGTGGGATGGAGATGACCCTAGGCTCTCTAAGGTCATGGCCTAGGAGCACCTAGGAATTCTAGCATAGACCTGAAACAGAGATGGAATTCTCTTGTTTGACAGTCAGCCTTCCAGCCATGTTTGGGGAAGCCCATCACCTAAGGATGGCCACCAGCGGGTGTTTTTTTTTTTTTTCAATGAAAACAACTAATGAAGATTATTTACTAAGGTTTATGATCTTCTAAGGTTATAAGTTACAAAAAGGTGCCAGCCTTCTTTGGTAGAGAGTTTCCTTATCTGGGAGAACTGTTGTCTATGCCAGTGAAATCACAGATTCAATTCCTCTCTGTAGTCCTGTGCGAATAGGAATATCACCTAGATCCTTAAATAATAAAACGTGATTTGACATTTCTCATAGTGTCTTCATATGTTTGGAATAAAATTCTAGCTACATTTTTTTAAAAAGTTAAGTTAATTCATTTTGAAAATCAAGATTCATTTTTAATTAAAAAGTCAGATGAATTCATGTTTTAGAACTGAAAGAGGCCTAGATGAGTATTCTATCCAGTTATAGGTAAGAAAGCTGAGCTCCAGAGATGAAGTGACTTGCCTGTCTGTGGTTACAGCTTTGTCTATTCGCAGACCCCTGAAAACAGCTCATCTCTCGTTCGCAGCCCAGGCCCACTCACTGTTGTCATGGGAGAGAAAGAAATGAAAATGTGTATTGTGTTAGAACTAGAAGAGCAGGAAAAGATTTGGCCATACTCCAGTGTCTGAAACCTGCTCATTTTGTACATACTTGCAATTTTGGCCTTGTTATTATTTTATACTTTCTCTTTACTTCCATTTCAATAACTGGGATAAGAATTTTTTAGAAACCAGTGATCATTAGCTTTGCCAGTAATTAACATCACTGAATAGATAGGAAGTATAAGACAGCTGTCAAGTTGACCACTAATATAATGTAAGATTTGCTGTTATTTGTCATCGTCAGGACTTTATAATTATAGTAATGGCAGTGTTGATGGAAAGTTGACAGTTAACTTTTCCTACTTAGCAGACTTCAGAACAATTATAGAAGCTTCCAGGGACTTTATCATTTTTATTGTTAAAACTATCTAGGGCCCAAAATGTGAACAATTATATGAATTTTGCTTTGGGATGATATTAAACATATTCTTTTTTTATTTCTAGGGTAAGACTACTATTATTCTAAGATGTCTTGACAGGTATGTCTCAACCTTTTGCAAAGTATTATTATATAGGTCAGTTTGAGGCCTAAAAGACATGACATAAGGCTCCTACTGATACACGTATACAAATACCCTTTCCATCGTTTATTTTTTACAACAACCCTTGAAAGCCCTTGGAAAGATATATTAACCAGCAGCCCAGGGGTGCAACTGGCAGTAGCCTGTTTTCTTGCCCTGTTTTTGTCTGCAAGGAAGTTTTCCATCCCCATTGCTAAGGCTCCTCTATTTAGAAGGATAATCACATCTGCTCTGATTACATGAATTGGCATGAATGCCATGTTTTGTTGAAATTATTTTTATTCCGTGTTTTTCATGATTATAAAAATGTTTGTCATGCATAATTTATTATTTAGTATATTTTGAAACAAATCATTGTTCCTCAGATTATATGGTGTGGGCTGTGATTTCATCAGTCTAAGAAACTCCCATTGTGCTAAGTTCCTTTTACCAGATCTAGGCTGGCTGCTTACCCATGCTCACAAGCTAGTATGGCAGCTGCAGAGGCAGCACTTGAACTCAGGTTTTCCTAACTGCAAGATGGGCCCAATCTCAATGCTATTCCTAGTGTCTGCTGGCCATCTGTAGAAGAGTAGATGATTTGAAATTAAGGTTGCCTTTTTCAATCTGCTATAATAGTGAAGAATATTTTACCAGGATTAGTGTATATTTATCGGTGTTTTTAATTTCAGTATCTCTGTTTTCAAGAAAATGTTACAATGGGCAGCGTTTGGTCTTGGGCATCCAGGGTTGAACAATACTATTCCTTATAAAAATACTCTTGAAATTTGCATGGAGTAAAATCTTGTCTGTGTATAAGTCCTTTCAGCCAAAGATTATTTTCTTGGAAAGAATCATGTGAAGTAACATTTGCCTCATCTTTCAAATACTATTAAGTTAGTTGTGTGACTCTGGGCAAGTCACTTAACCTCTCACCAAAAAAACCCCAAAACAAAAACAAATACTATTAAGTCTGACTGTCTTCTATGCAAATATAACATGGATTTTTTTAAATTTTAAATAGTCTGCATAATTACTTTTCTATCATCTAAAGTGACATTGTTTTTAAGAACTATGAGCTTCTACAAAATAATTGAAGACCTGAAAATCCTTCATATAGAAATTCTCTAAGATGGAACTTTAAAATCTCATTTTTAAATTATGTATTTTAATTCTATTTTAATTAATTTTTAGACAGGCTATATGGGATAGTGGAATAAAGAGCCAGCCTTAGAGATAGGAATATCTGGGTTCATGTACTGTAGCTGAAACAATACCAGCTGTATGGCTTTGAGCAAGTCCCTTAATCTTATATGGAATTGCCTGGGGCACTGAGATGATTAGTTAATATATAATTTGCTGGGCTGCATTATTGGAAGAAGTTTCTATAATAGGAATTCCCCAGACCAATAAAATCACAGGTCTAGACACACACACACACACACACACACACACACACACACACACACACACACACACACACAC